CCCCCCCCCCCCGAGCTTCCGGAAGTACTAGTACTAGTTGGGACCCAAGTTATGTAAACTTGGTAACTCTAAACACGATCAGAGATGTTACCATTCCATTGTATCCGATGCTGTAAATAAAGGAGTCAGCTTCGTAGCTTTCGAATGACGCCTTTCGAATTGCATTCCTCGAAAAACAGCATTTTGCTGAAGAGCACACTCGTAATACGAGTAGTATATATATATATATATATATATCGTACATACACTAATGTAGTACTAAACACACTTGCTCGTCCCAGTTTGGGTGCATCTCCATGCCGGTGGTTAAGGTAGGGTGGCACGACACTGTAATACTGAAAATTGAAGCATCCTTTCTCGGTAGTCGTAATATCCCACTCGCTTCAACTTCAGTCACCGCAGGATTACGCGGTCAAATGTCGGTACATGCATGTAAGTGTAAGCGCAAATGCAGGCATGCTGTGCGTACCTCCCAAGCATAGGCAGCATTGGTGACTGTAGAGGCTACAATAAAGCTCAAGCACTGTGGTTCTGACATGGTTGTGACCCTCCCCCCAAGCCGCTGCCAGCATTCAAACCCACCAGCGACACCCCGAAGACACATGCGCCTACCTTTTCTCCTTCCTCAAATTTACTCAAAGACAATTCGTATCCTCTACTCTGCGATGCCATGACTAAACTTCACCGACTCGGACATGTGTCAACATCGATCCGGTTTTGATACCCGGCTTTGAAGCTGTGTCAGCTTAACATTCCTTCGTTCACCTAAGTTACCGCTAGCCAAATGCACCATCACATCGGACGACGCAGAAGTGCAATAAAGTGTATCATGGTCATCGGGGACAAACTTATTATCGTCATTGTACGTGGTTCCGTGCCCATTGAAACACCGTAACCCTACAACGCGTTTCCTACTCTGGTGGGGATGATCGTGGCTACCCACACCAGCGTATCCGTAGAGGAAAACCAGAGTCTGACTAAAATTTGAAACGAATACCTTGGACCGATATTGCCAGTATGGTGTACAACTTGCTAGTAGTGCTTAGTGATGCCGTAGCTCTCTTAGTATAGAACTTCGTATTAGCGAAATATGGCGTTTTATTGAAAAGAAAACACCTGTAAATGGAAGTTCCATAATGGAACGATCACCATAGTTGATCATACAACATTGGTTTTATTAATGTACCGAGTTTCCAGTACGGTGTGTAGTGTCAAGTTGGCACTTTGAACTCCTCATCTACTCGACTACGAAATACCTCCGCAATGCTTAGTAGCTGCTCGCGTTGAAGTGGTCGGCCGTCATTACCTTGGCCCAGGCAGAAGAAAATACGTGCTTGAAGACGTTATCCTCCGATGCGAACAGCTGCACCGCCTCCTTCAGCTCGGGAGCCGCCAGCAGCGCCAGGTCCGTGTCCATCATGTACACGTCCTTGCCCTCCGCCTTGAACTCCTTCTCGGACACCACCGTCCACGTCTCATTCAGGAGCACCTGGAAGTACTCGTTCGACAATGTAAGCGAGTTGTTGCTGTACGTGCCGCTGTAGCCCAGAGTCCTCTGCTGTGCCACACTGCGCGGACGGCCGGCCAAAGCAACCGCCTCGTACGGAGACACACCGAGGATCTTGATGTTGTCACGCACGGCGATCAGCGTTGTGTTGTAGTACTCACGCGGAGCCAGAATCTCCGTGCCGTTGCCGTTCTCAGCGTCGGTGCGGCCACCCAAGAAGTCGATGGTCACGTTACCCGCGTCTTCCAGGGCCACCTGCCCCGCCAGCACGATCAGGTCGGCGGTTGACAACGTCGGGTACGATTCCTTCACAGGCTCAAGCGCAGCAATGATCTTGTCAACGCCAGCGTTCACCGGCCAGTCCTTCTCCGGCGAGAAGCGGATACGGGCACCGTTGCAGCCGCCGGCGTAGTCCGTGATACGGAAAGTCGACGCGCACTGCCACGCAGCGTGCACGAACAGAGCGCCGTTGTACGGCGTGCCCTCGCTGCTCGAGTCACTCGTCAGACCCTCCACCGACGTGGTCAGCAGCGAACGGATGTCCGAACGCACCGCGTCGAAGTCCGGGAGCGTCGTGGGTGTCGGCGGCAGCGGGTTCTGGAAAGGCTGAGCGGGCGGCACGTCGCTACCGCGGCAGCGAGCCACCGGACCCACGTCGCGCGACATCAGTTTGTACCAGGCGTGCGAGAATTCCTCATCCAGGGCGGTCTGGTCGGCAGCAAACTCGAGCGAGATGTTATGGTAGCTCGGGTCGTGCAGCAGGGCAATGTCGGCAGTCAGCATTCGCACGGGTGGCGTCGTATCGGGCACGGGACGCCACTGCACATGTCCACCAGGGCCGTCGAACTTCTCCCACTCGAAGCCTGTGAGGCCCTTGAAGTAGCCGTTGCTCCACTTGGTAGGCGTGAACGTCCATGCGCCCTCGAAGCCGCTCGTGAAAGTGTTGTTGCCCTTGCCCTTGAGCGCGCCCTCGCCGCAGGTTCCCGGCCAGGGGTTCAGAGGGTCTTGCGTCGGATCAGGACCAGGGCCCGTCGGACAGGCTCCATGCGTCTTGCCGAAGGCGTGTCCACCGCCGATCAACGCCACTGTCTCGCGGTCATTCATGCCCATGCGCTCAAATGTATCACGCACATCGGCCACCGATCCGACCGGGTCGGGGTTGCCCATGGGACCCTCCGGGTTCACGTAGATGAGGCCCATGGTAGTAGGACCAAGAGGTTCCTTGCACTGGCCGTCCACAGCGCATGGAGCCACACTCTCCTGCTCGGGCGTCGGGCCCAGCTGCAGGCTGCTAGTGCCGTCAGCGTCGTCGCGGCGACCGCCACAGAAGCCCAACACGGGGCCACCCATGCTCTCGATAGCGACGTTACCCGACAGTACGATGAGGTCACCCCATGACAGCGCATCGCCGTACTTGAGTTTGATGGGCTCTAGCAGATCGAGCGCCTTATCCAAGTTGGTGTTGTCAGCCCAACTGCGCTCCGGGTTGAAGCGAATACGACCACCGTCGCAGCCACCGCGACCATCGGCGCGGCGATACGAGCCATTGCAGTGCCATGCCAGGCGGATGAAGAGGCCACCGTAGTGACCAAAGTCAGCCGGCCAGAAGTCTTGCGAGTCCGTCATCAGATGCAGAAGATCCTCCTTCACGAGTTCGTAGTCGATGACATCGCAGCTTTGCGCATCATATAACTCGCTTGAGATCTGGCGGTCTACCTGGTGCACGGCGGCGACCGAGTCGTATCCGAAGGGACAGCTGCCGGCGTTGGCGCCATTGGACAGACCGGCTAGTGCAGCGACGAAGGCGGCAAGTCGAACGTTCATCTCGAGTTGAATTGACTTGTGGCCTCAGAGACGAAACGAGAAGTGACTGCTAGTCGGTGTTTCTTTCTGCTTGTTGTGGCTGCTGTTGTGAATTTTTCCCGATGGCTGTGCGTATGGCGGAGACGTAGGACATCATTACATGTACATGTAGCATCTAAACCACGATTTATTTGTTGAGTCGCTATGCTGATTGCGATACTGTGTGCAATTTGCGCTGGGAACTCAGGAGCGGACATGGACCCACGGAACGAGTGACGACACATTCGGAATTTACCGCACTGTATCATACATACAGTCATTTTGACCGTTTTCTTGGGAAGTAATTCATGATTCCAACAAATGTAGTATAGACGGCAAAGTCACACGGAACATATAAATCATCTGGCATCCCATCATATTTCAGTGCTTTTTAAAATATGTTCGACGAGCAGACGCTGCGAACCATGTCGTTTCAATCCGTGTACATTGAGCCTAAAGCGGAAGAAGCATCAATAATCGACGGTTTTTTTCACTACTCGCATTATGCGAGTCGCATACTATTCGTGCCATTCGCAGCGAAAAGAGGGCGCATTTGAGTCGACTGCCATCACACCACAAGATTCGTGCTGAGCTTTTAGGTATCAACTTGGTATTGTCGATTGCGTGTATCAGATATCCTTGCTAGAACGCAGATAAAAACCAGGGCTGCTTCGGTTGGATCATGATTCGCACCTATACTGAGTGCATTCACTTCGCCTCAAGGAAAACTAAACAAATGCGCAAGTTTAAAAAAAGCAACTGTCTACCACAACACAAGAAAAACTTTCCCGAATTTCCCCGGTAGCTGACGGTACGCTAGACACAGCCCATTATTTTTGCGACACTATAAGGCAATTCAGTGATCTGTCAAAGGATCTACAATCCGTCTTCGGCGGATTGTAGGTCCCTTCAACGTAATTCTTGGTGCGTCCGAGCCATACTACCGTTAAGTTGGTGTCTTTGGAGCACACTACGTAGCTGTGACAATGAGAGCAGAACTACATACATGTAAAGAGCGACCAGAGTGTCGCTATGAAGATTGTTGCGAGATCGGTCCATCGAAAATCATTGTACATGTGAGTTGCTGGCACCCCTGCATGTAATTGACGCGGAGCTATCGTGGTTGAAGAGGTCTAAGCCTCGCAGACAACTCGAGGTCTTAGATGGCTGTGAATTGCATGCTTCGTCGTACAGTAATAAAAGACTTGTTACGTAAAGCATTATGCTAATGGAGGAAGGTATGTAGCAATTTCGTTATTTTTATTATTATTATAAGAGCTGCTCACCTTCGTTCTGTTGGTCCATGTCGTATCCTCTGTCCTCTGCAATTAGGATTTACGATGACCGACTTTTTCTACCCGAGCGTTTAATCGCGGAGATTATTTTTTGTGTACACCGCATTCAAGGAATTATCAAAATCCAGTACTAGTAGATATTAAACATGCCGGATTGAATCCTTGATTTTCCATTGAAATTTACTATTAAATTTGGTCGATGTGAACTCGTATAAGTAAACACACTTGTGTCTACTTATACATGTACAAGTTCACATCGACCAAGCGCTTGCCAATTCTTAAGCTTGATATGCGAACTTAACAGTAAGGTCTTAGGTCTACTGGACCTGGTTCTTTACTTCATACATTAAATTATTGTAATTCTTCTACCATTTCCCAATCCTTGCATTTTTGCACATGAAAAGGCGTTGTCCGACCTTCGGGTTTCTCATCGAATCGGTTCGAGTTACATTTATCAGAACAAAAAGAAATGGATTCCACAACACTTTGCCAGGATTCCTTCACTTCTCGTTTCGCCACAAGTCAATTCAACTCGAGATGAACGTTCGACTTGCCGCCTTCGTCGCTGCACTAGCCGGTCTGTCCAATGGCGCCAACGCCGGCAGCTGT